CATATAGATCCAGTGTCAATAACCGTGTTACTTACGTAGATATTAATGTCAGCTCATCGTCGAGGGGTTAACATATAAAAAACCTAAAAAAATTTTCAAAATTTTCAATTAATTATAGTATTATTCGTAAGAAATACAAGCACATGCACTTATATTAGTTATATTTTATGCGAATAATATACAAGAAGCTATGCTTTTATAATAGATCGTGTACCACCTCATAACAACATACAAAGCTTGCTGCAATTATTTACAACGATCCCATTCACTTTACAGTACGTAATCGTAGCGTAGTCTTGTAGTTAATATTTACATCTGGATTCCGGGAGCTCCTGAGAGTTGTGACATATATCGTTCGTATCAAGGGATTTAATTGTAAAATGTGTAACACTTAAATTAATTTCCAAAATTCGATTGTATCATTGAGCGGACGTTAAATTTTATCACGTCAACGTAAACATAGATACACAAGTTCTGATCATTTGACGTTTCAAACAATGCGCCATTTTTCCGTTTAAATTTGCCATACGCGGCATAAAGACGCACTAGACGTTCTATTTCTCTGAACCGCGCGTTTCAAATTGCTATCGAATTGCTGTCATTCATTAACAGTTAACAGTATAATAAGATGTAAATAATACGTCGCAAAAATATTTCAGATATTTTCGGCGAGGATATACGAATTATTAATTTCTGATTATCAATATAAATCTCTTTTATATACGTAAATTATTTTATGAATTTAAAGAGTAGCTTAACAATCGCGTGTAGGAACATTACGTTTTCGGTTATCAAACGCAAAACAGTGTTCACTACAATTTAATCCTAGTTTATAGAATAACGCAAGAAGAACCTTTCTACTTCTCTTATTTGGAATTTCGTCCTGATACGTGTCGGGGCAATAACTTCATTTGCAGAAACATCCACATATATAAAAACGTCGACAACTACTCACACGCTTATTTTATACGCACCCAAAGGGACTATATTAATATATACAAAACTGTCCTTATCAATACAATTATTACAGCGATAATGTCATATCCATATGATCGTAACATTATTTACAAATATATGCAAGTGACTAATCATCGGAAATTTACAAGTCCCGGTTGCTTCGTTGCATCTTATGCACCGCTTTCGAGACACTCTTCGAGTTTCACACTAACACACTTTCTATGCTTATATACTAATTTATACATTTAGCTTAAGGTCGATTAACCCTCTGCACTAATAATTAATTACATTTGAACAGATGGCACAATAAAAAATTCTTGGCCACAGGATGTTTTATAATTTTCAAATTACCAAAAATATTGAAAAGATGTTTCATAATTTTAAAATTGCTATTGCGATAAACGTTAACATTGAAAGAGAAATTATTGCGTCAGTTACAAAAAATTCACTAAATATCAACTAACAGTAACACATAATAATATCAATGTTAAAAATTGTTATGTTCAATTAATATAAATGTAATACAGTACACTAATTGAATCAGCATCTCAGAAATGTTGAATTGTAACATTGCAAATTCAACGTTGAAAGAACATTCACACTTCACATTCAACATTGCAACATTTTAATAATGTTCTTTCAACGTTCTATGCTGCACGGGAATATTATTTCAACTTTACAGCAATATTAACAATTTGTGTAGAAAAATCAACACAGATTTAACGTTGAAAAAGATTCACATTTTAACATTCAACATTGCAATGTCGTCTCAGCAACGTTCTTTTACCGTTCTGTGCTGTATGGATAATACAACAATGTTACATGTAACAGTTACATTGTTAAATATAAAATTGTAATAATATCTAACATTAATGTTAGATATTATTGTTAGTTGATTAGTGTTTAGTGAGAACTGATATAGAAAATGTTTGACGAATTTATCAGCCAATTTATAATCCATTATCTTGATCATCAGTCAATATGTGGTTGAATATTGTGGCGAGTGTTTTAATATAATTATGCTTAAAATTGAGCCAGACTCTTCTTGTTAGTTAACATATTACTACATAGTCGGCATAGGAGTGCAAAGGGTTAACTTTTTAACTATTTTCTGTCTATCAAATAAAATGAAATGATACGTTAACAGTTACATATGACACGAAAATAATTCTCAAGGAATGGCTTTAATGTATGCGCATAAATATTCAGATTCTGTGCAAATTCAGTATATGAAAATATTGATAAATAATATTATTTATCAACATTTCGTATATTATTTTAATTTTAAATTATCATTTAATCATATATTATATTATCAACATCTTATATAATGTATCTACGCATTCACACGAGTCACTGGCGAGTGTTATTTACCAATCGAATAGGCCGAATTTTTACTTGATCTAGAAACGATATGGATAAGCGATAGAAAGCGAATGTAATTACAATATTTAATACGTATCTTACAAAAAAAATTTCCGTCTCTGTTTCGAGTTTGTCATTTTTGTGTAGTAATCATTACCGAGATTGTGCTAATTCATGAGACAAAAATGCTACGAATATTTTCAAACAAAAGAAACACATAAATATCTTAATATCTTTTAATAAAAAAATACTGTCGTAATCAATCTTTTTAACGATATAATTGCGATTCGAATAGAAGTATCAAATCTTTCCGGTAAATCATATCCATATACGAAAAAAAAAATCTTTGGGAAAAATTGGGAGATCTCGTTTCGCTAATGATGCACGCGATTTGAAAGCCTCTCTACCGATAGAAGAAAAATTGGAAAAAAGGATTCAATGATGACGGTAGAATCAGGTAAGGAGAATGGTCACGATATTCCTAGAATACGTTCGATAGCGATGGCTTCACAAATCTGCTGACACGTCAAAAAGATTTGGAATGATTATCGATGCTTTATGAAAGGTAAGGAGAGTTCTGATAGAAGTTAAAAATAAATAAATGATTCAACTTGAACGAATAAAAATAATATTAATATTATTGTGACATATATTAACACGTTGACTGCCAGTATACAATTAGATAACTTTGTACTTAATGCCATTTTTTATCAGCACATTATTTTAATAAGCTCTACTTCTTTTTTATTTCTCCATTCAAAACTCACAAACAAATTTTTAGTTTTCCTTGAAAATATCGATCGGCGAATAGACACGTTCATCTACATATCGCCAATTATGAGTTATCTTCTATTTGGTAATCAACATGTTAAGTATTATCACTCAAATTATATCTTGATATTTTTATTATCGTCGGTCAGCAAGTGATGCTTGAATATCGTAACTTAATACTAAAATTACCAAATAATTAAAATGATTAAATTGTAATTTTTTTTCAAATTTAAAATGATAGAGAAGAGATGTGTGGCTCCATATGACAGTGACAAATATTATAAAATCGCGAGTTCAAACTTCACATTCTGTATATACGGATAATTTCGTAATCTGTACTAATTTAACGAGAGAAGAATTCTCTTTAGAACTAGGTGACTCTTTGTTCAGACATATAAAGACTGATATATGGTCCCACCCATCCCTTCCTTATTATTATTAGTACCAAAACATGACATACTTCCTGAAATTATCCGTTAATTTTTGTTGCAATATATAAATGGATAAATTAATAAATTTCGCTTTTATCCTTTTTTTTTGAAAAATACAACATGAATCAACAAAAACTTTTTATCTTGTTTTTTTATAACTAACTGGTTATGAAATACATCAATTTTGTTTTTAAGAAGAAAGTATTCTCTAAATCTTTAAGAATCTTGTCACTCTAAAGAATGAAATCTCACTTTTAAAGATTGAAAATTGAGCTACTCTTTTTCAATATTATTCACTTTTCATTTTTTAGAGTGTTTCATTTCAAAGAATTTAGAGAGTATAATTGTGATAAATTTAATTGTATTGCTTCATCCTCTTGATTTAGTTTAGAGTAGTTATTCTGTGTAAAACAAGAAAGCGTCTCACAGAATATGGACAAACTTTATAAAATAAAATCGTAAAAAATTTTGAAATGTATAAAATATACAGATTTTTCTTTTATACATTACATTCGTTCGTGATTCGTTTTTATATCTTTTTTATCTTTTTTTTTAAACATTTTACGTTTGCGGCTGACAACAGTGTATTCAATAGCGCAATTTTTCCGAAATAAATTTACATATATTTTCATATCTTTTAAAAATATTAATAAATCATTAAAATGTAAAACATTGTTTTGAAGGTCTTTTAAGTCCTTCTATTGTGTCCTATTTTTTTTAATTTTGTGTAAGTTCTTTGAAAATCACATTTGGAAGTCTTAGATATTAAAAGTTGAAAATTTACAATTCATACAAAAAAATTAATAAATATTTAAATAAATATATAAGTTTCATAAATATTCAAAATATCCTTCAATTTTTATACAATAATAAAGCCTCCCTTCAAAGTTATTGCAAACATTTTAAAACATTTCTGGCACTTCATCAATTGTCTTTTGTAAATAGACCTTGTATGAAATCCGGCGTTGAATAATATTTTATATTTTATATATCACGAAAAAAAAAATAATAGAATAAAATCAGATGATCTTTGTAGTCTAATGCAATCAAATCTATTTAGAATTTTCAATTTTTGATACCTTACAACATGTGTAATTTCTTAAACAAAAAATGATCCAGACATTAAATGATCCTTAAAATAATATGTTACTTTATTTTTATTTAAAATTTTTGGAAGAATAGCTACCTTAATTAAAAGGCAAAGCAGCATCATTAAAGGGTCGCACATTTTTATAATTTAATCAAAGCTACTGTGTTCATATAAAATGTGCAAGGTCCTTTATTATAATTATATAATCTCTTTAAAAACAAAATTGGCACATTTCGATATATTTTGCACAAATCGATCCATTACAGAGAACAAATAAAAAGTTTTCATTAATTCATCTTGTATAAATATATTTAAATAGTAGAAATAGATTTCGTTATCGGTAGTCCTAGTGTTATATGTCAATAACAATACAGAAAGACCCTCGCTTCAAAATATAGCATTAATGAATTTTATAAAAATAATTATGAATACATATTTTTCTCAAGTTGATATGACATAAAATAATTATTCGTGTCTACAATATTGCAGACTTGGTTTTTTACCATCTTTGTACAATAAAAAAGAGTTAAAAACAAGAGAGAAAAAGGAATGGCGCGTTATAACGTTTGTTATAACGATCTATTATAGTAGTAATGTGTCGCCTTATCAAAGGCAAGATAAATTCATAGTCTCACTATGATAATCGTCTTCTTTTCGGCCATTGATAGCCGCAAATCCTTCAATAAGTGTGCTATTCATCAGTTAATTGATCCCTTGCGCGATTGAGGAAAGATGGTAGGATTTATGCTGCAAGCTGAAAGGACATCGACCAATCATCCTCACTCCGTGACTACGACAGGGCGGAGAGCATGATTATGCAAATCGCTGCGCTGGATCGCGTCACGCAATGCCACGTGCTGCTTTTAGATGACATCGATTGCGCCGTATTGTCGATTCTTCGCTGCCCGATGTCATTGTCAACGTTTTTATGACTATTAGTATCAATGACATTCTCAGCTTCGTGATTCTCTTCGTGACTCGGCCTGCCACGAATTCGCGTTTCTGAAAATAATCATCAATAATATATTGAAGTCTCAATAACATACAGCTTTAGCTAAAAGATATCAGGCATCTGTATATTGTTTATTGATCTAAAATTCTTTTGCTTGTGTTGTTGTTTTCTATTGATTACCGACATTATACAGTACCGATCACAAGTTTCAATAAACGCTACTTTTGCAAAAAAAAACGTCAATTAATTACCAAATGCATTAATCGATTGAGTTCTAATGATCCTTTTTATATTGAAACCAAAGAAATGTTAACGTATTATATTTCAATTTAATTTCTATGTAAAAAACAAAAAAGGAAATTTAAAACAAACTAGCGAACAAATATTTAATCAAAGTTGTGAGTAAGTAACATACTTTATTTTACAATTATCGATTGTATAAGGAAAAGTAGGAAAATCATAAAAAAGTAAAAGTGCTAATAAACACTGATTAGCGTTAGTTTTTTGTACAAATTCTGTGAGTTTTAGTTACATTCTCCTTTATAAAAATGTACAGAAAATATCAATTTGAGTTAAAAATTATTTAATGTAGAATGTAAAAATAATTTTTTTATCTGTTTCTTTTACAAAGTTTGCCCTTTATTGATACTTCTTTTGAACGGTACGTAAATATAAAGAATTCTTGAAACAAAAAATAATTCACAGCATCTATAAATCAATTGAGCTAAAACATTAAATAATGGTTAATAATATGTCTAATATTTTTGGCCAAGAGTATATTACACGACATTTTGTGACTATTAAATGATACTATATAAGACGATCATTCGTGCCGCGAATAAGTGGAATATTCAAAAACGAAAACTAAGGACAAACTCCGGAAAAATTTATAGTATCTTCTACTTCGGATAACGAGAGACGTGGTGAATCTTTCCAATGTTCTTGCCGTATATTATATATTCTTTCTAGAAACATTGCTTCTGGTGGACGTCGACGTTAGCGTTTTTGCATTACCTTTGCGTTGGATAACGCGACTCTCATTGTCTGTCCGCCGGGGAGATCATAAACCAAATCGCGTCCAACTCGTTGGTATCTGAATTGCCGCGACTTCACTCATACCCGTCAGTTTACATGATAATCGAAACAAGTTTGGATACCGGCGTTGGCGTCCCGGGTGCAGATTACTTGCCATAGTTGGACCGAGCGCGGTAGTTCATAAACCGCATGGGATTTCATCAAAATCCCGTCGAGAGTTCCGCGTTTGTCGTGGCGGAGGACGGCACAGGAGGGAGAGGCTTTCGGCATTGGGAGGAGGATTCCGAGGCGGCGTGGCACGTTGCTGGAAGTTTTGCGGAATAAACTTCGCGCCTTCCGCGAAACTTTCCGTAGGAAAGTTCCACCACTGCCCGGCGGCGTGTAAGTTCTCGCATTACGTCGGAGGCGATGATTTAAGACGACGTATCCCGGCGAATTTCGGGTCGCGGCAACGTATTTGCGGAAGGTGACGTGTTTTCAAGCGTTCCTCCTCACTGATCGCATAGATCAACATTTTATTGCTTGAATTACGAATGTTCTGGCCATACATATCGTGAGCGGGACACATAAATCCGATACACATAAATTTCATCTCGTGGGCGAGAAAAGAAATTTAAATTTTGTAAACACGTATTCTATGGTAATAAAGTATAAAATATTTTTCCCACTAGAATTCCATTGCTTTAAAAAAGTATGTTATTGGTATCGATTCCATTGATTTACAAGGTTTCTGTTTCTCAATATCTGAACGATGACCTTTATGTATTATTAACTGCTGAGAAGAGAATATATAAGATCAACAAAGTTCTATCGTTTACCGATTTTTAAAAATCAAGGACTTTATTTTTAAAAAAGCTTTAGAAATTTAAAAAATTTAGAACATTTTGTTTTTTTTGTATGGAATAATATAAATATCAGGTATTAAAAAACATTCAGGTATTAAAAAACAGAAGCCTTGCAAATCAACGTAATTTTTTATATTAAAAGTTGCTAATAAACTTTAATATTTTAATGTATCACTTAAAACTGTACATAAATGGGTCTTCACACCATTACATTTATTTTCATATATTGGAAAACAATATTTAAATTCTTTATGTACACAAATTTGTAATACTACATAAAAAATTCAAAGCAAATTTTTTTTAAATTAAAGAATGAAAAGAAATTAAAGAAATTAAAGAATTAAAATTTTTTAAAAAGTTCCTTTTTTAGTGTAAAAAAGTTACCATTGTTGTATTGCAAAAGTTACCATATTTGAATCACAAAAGACATACAATTCATTTTTCTAAAAAAAAGGAGATCGGAAGCGGAAGGAAGGAGTATAATTTTTCTATTAATTTTCATTAACAATTACTATTAATATAATTTTACAAGTATAAAATTTCATTTAGATAATGTGTGACCAGAATTTACGACCCCAAAAAAGTACCACATGTACTTAAGAATAAAGCTGATAACCCATATTATTATGCAAAAAACAAAATGTTAATCAAAATTTGTTGTTGTTGATGCATAATGCGTATAAAATCGAGATGATTTCAAAACAGAATAATCAAATTAATACGCGTAATGTTAACCACAGTTAGCGAATAATGGAGATCTGCAATCATGATGTACAAGTCTCATGAGGCATCTGGTTTCCATTGAATTCCCAGTGCAATTGTCAAATCTCACCTTCGTCGCGCAGTTGGATAATCTGATTTTTGTTTCCTCTAAAAGTTCCGCGAGGTTTGCACAGTCGGAGCTTTGAATATTCAAACTTGTTTCGACAACACCGCAACTGTCGCCAGCGCGCGTAATTGTAACGACGACGATGTAGAAAGTCAGAATTGCCACTTATAATATTCGTATTAAAATAACGGATAAACAAACTTTTTATTCCCGCGACAACACAAATGCATGTGTTGAGAAAATCAAAATATTTAAATTTTATTTTTTACAACATTTCATTTTTTACGATTTTTTACACAATGTTAAAAATAGCCATTTCATTCAAATTAACTATATACATTGGTATAAATACAATTATATTCAATAAAAATATTTTACATTATACTGTAAAATATTAAGAGTATCTTTCAAGTGTAATTGTATTTATAGCTATATGTGTATATAATTAATTTGAATGTTTACACGAAATAATTAATTGAGAATGTCGAAAAATTCTTTTTGTATAAAAAATCACGTAAATATAAAATTTGAATATATTCTAATTTTATTAACATGCATTCGTGACAAAAATAAAATCTGTTTTCTCTTTCATCATTTTATAGTAACATTACAGTATTACGATTTTAATTTCGTACCTATTAAAGTAAGTAAAATATTCATTTCATTTTAGAAATCTTTAAACGCGATTAAAAATAAAATTAAATGACTTTATGTCAATATAATGCGTTTCTATTTAAAGTATCTCATATTTTCCTGAGGCTTCTATCTCGTTTAATACGAAAATCTGCGCCAGTAACAGCAAAAAAAAGTAAGCTTAAGCGAATAATGAAAAGCGAGCGAACCTTCGCTTCTCACGACGGTCGACAAAGATGCATCGGTTATTTCATTAGAGCTCGGCTCTAAACTGGGCATGGGCTTTTGTCGCGACCACTGGATATTCTCCACTGAAAACAATATTGTTCTTATTAGTTATCTGCATAACGGCTAATAAAGAGAAGTACGACTGAAACGATTATCTTAATATGTATTAAGTAAAGTGACGCTGAGAAATGGAATTGTTTTTTTAAACCATTAACACATTTCATACTGAACCAATTTTAAGTTCGTCGTAGTAAGATTATATTTGTAAAGTAAAATATATTTCATAATAATAATTAAATAATAATTAAAAGCTATAATAATAATTAAAAGCTACATAGATATTATTAAAAAGAAGGAAGTCTGATGCAAAATGTAAGGCATAAAACAAGAAAAAATTTTTATTAAATAAATAAAAATTAAGTATAATATATGTTAAACTTTTAAATAAAAAGTGACAGGTAAAATAGCTAACAACGTAAAACGATTATCAAAATAGCAGTGAAAAAAAGTACAACAAAATACATACATAATGAAAGATATAAATTAGAGTAAATTTAACATATTTAATATTTATGTATGTACTCGTACACATACAAACATATATGTTTTCACGACAATTACACGCACACACAAAAGAATATTATTTAATCTGAAAGAGCAATAAGGCGAGAAGAAATAAAAAAAGTATCAGATGAAACAAAAATAAATAAAGGAAGCAAGAAATTAATACGAATTACTTTACTGCAATGTAAGAAAACACCTGAAACTTCATAGTACGATGCAACAACAAGAGCGAAAACTGAATATGCATCTAAAACTCGAGGTTAGAGTGAAGTAAACAATTGCAGAGAGAGAGAGAGAGAGAGAGAGAGAGAGAGAAGATGGATTAATACATTATAAACAAGATAACATAAATTTTTGTTGACTGTTTAACCAATTAGATGATTGATAGTTTGATGTAATAAAGTTATGTGATCGAATGCCCGTACAATGCAAAACAAATTGACATGAATTTTGAATCTACTGAATTCAATTTAGTAATTGTTTACTCAAATATAAATAATATCAGTGTAATCAAATAAAGAGATAACATTAATTATCTAGTTTGTTAAAATTTTTATATCAATTGATAATTTTTGTATAAAGAAATTAAAGGTTGTAGTAAAGATACTCGCGATATATCTCAAACCAATCAAATAATTATAGAGATTACAAAGAAACATAATCCTTTTTTTTTACAGCCAGAACTTAAAAAAAAATGGCTAGAAAATACAGAGTGACATCCTCAGTTCCGCGGTACGAAAACTGTCAATATTGAATATTACTTGACATTAAAGCTTTTTCAATTAAACTTTGCAATATTAAAATCTCTATTATTTTTTTTTATTATTATCTTACTGATGGAGATTATATACAGTTAAAAGTACATTTGTCTTTTTAAATTACTAGAGAATAAATTATTTGCTATTACTTACTTCTACCAGCTTTAATTTTTGCTTATCTTGTGACCGTTATCCTTTTTTACAGTTTTTCTTACATTGCAACTAACGAGCCTTACTTAATTTATTTTATTATGAATTATTTAATACTTACCTGGATCCACGGTAGTAGGAACGGGCAGTGTACTCGTCGTCGTCGGTTCTGTGGTAGGCGTTGGTATGTCTGCCAAAATACGCAATGTATTAATAACCTTTTCAATTCAATATAAATCTACCTTGAATAAAACTGTACTACACAGAGGAACATATGCGCATTCATAAATTTTCTATATATAAAAACTAAATATCGCAAACGAGAAAATGTATATAAAAAATCATATAGACTATGTATGTACAGTTTACGGGATTTACTGTTAAATAAAATAGGATAGAAGTACGTGGGACAATATCTCGCCGTGTGTTACATTATTACATTCCTGCAGTGTAAATATTCGATTGAACGCGCGATATTTGCAGATAAATTTTAAGCTGCTACTTTAATATTGTTCAATGCGAAGTAATTAACGCTAATGGATAATGAAAACTTTAAATAATCACAATAATAAAGACCGTTATTTTACGTCACGCTCTTTTCAAATTATTTAAAAGCGAATAACAATCGCGTTAACGAAAAAAAAACATTCTCCCCCGCTTCCGTCAGGAGAGGATAAAGTTAAGCAATTAAAACTAGTAGCACTCGCGAATGCTTCGTGGCCATTGTAGCAACTTTCGGCATGGATTGAAAGGCCGGTTTAAAATGCTAATGCGCATTAAATCGTCGACACAATCGAATGCTTATTTAAGCGGCTTAGCAGTAATCCGCCGATTCGGCGGTCGCGGTAAAGCACAAAGCTGGGAAGTTCAATCTGCGGGCGCGCCAAGGCGAAAACCTACAATTACTGATCGATAGATAGAAAGGGCTTCTTTTTACAGCCAGCAAAAGAGGGGTTGAGGGCCAAAGAGTTGGGAAACGCAGATCGACGCGTTCGCAGTTATCGGTGATTCACCGGGCTCGCACCGTTTTCCCCGGAAATACGGATTTGCAGACACGGCTAACTTTCACGGCGTTGACGCTCCTTATCGCTCAAGCTGGATGAACTTGCCTTTGATACCGAATCAATAAAAAGTTTGAGAGAAAATGTGCTCTGGTGAACTGTCTATTCTCGGCTGATGATTGATATCGAGATTTCTCTGATTGCTTCGATGAACACCTCCTGTCCGTTCATATGTGGAAACGCGCTGGTGCACTTCCGGTCGACGCCTCGTTACGCGATCAAATCGTATTCAATTGGAAAAATAACATTTTTTTCAAGAATACTTTCAAGAGTTAATTATCTTATCTCTTTTTTTTGTAAACGATTATTTGAGATTTATTTTTTACACATTTTACACATCAATTGAAATCATTTTATTATTAACAACATATTATATATTATTAATTATTTTTCAATTTATTACTACTGGAAAACATTATGGATATAAATAATCACAATTTTCTGAAAAAGATCAATAGAAACCAAATAAAAATTAAACGATATAAGCACGTTTAATATTTTATTATGACAGCATTTCTAAAAAATAACAATTACAATTAATGTAACACTTTTTATTTTAATAAATATTATTTTAATATTTTTTATTTTATTCAGACTTTCAACATTTAACTAAATATTTACTAAATGTAAACATATAGATAAACATGTAGATATCTATTTGGTTTAAACTATTAATTTGATATATTTTTTATTGAATAAATATTCAACAAAAAATATAGTGTTTAGTTAGTATTATTTTAAAAAATATTTATTAAAATGTAGAAATTTGTTTTCAATGTACATTTAAAAATTTATAAAAAATAATTTTTAAAAAAGAAAAAAAAAGTGCGATATCCAAAAACAATATTTTACAACAATTCTCATATTTCTGCATCTAGAGTGTAAAAATACTCTAAGGGCACATTTCAAAAGATTAGCAAAAATATAAAAATTTTGCAGAATATTTTATTAAAGTCTTAATATTTGTGTAAAATTTGAGCACATTTTTCTTACGTTATTAATTTAAAATTTATTTAATTTTTTTGTTTGTCTTAATTCTTACGTCTAAAATCACGTTTTGTAATACTTATTTGCTTAAGAAGGTCATAGCATTTCAAATTCAATCCAATTTTTTACGTACCTATATGAATCCACTGACTTATCTCAAAGTTACTTACAACTATAGCAAAATATGATCAATTAGCTACAGCTAATAAAATTATAACTGTAAATCAAATTATTGTGATATTTTTTACAGTTAGTTTTTGGATGTGTGTTTGACAAACAATTTTTGACTAATGTTAATTGATATTATGGCTTTTTTAGCTGATTTTTTGGCTGATATTCTTTAATTGATATTATACAGTCAAAACATTTTTAAAACCTCGTTTTTTATGACTTGTGCATTACGGCGAGTGTCATTATCACACTGCTTCGCGGACACTGTCGCATACGTGCGTCAACGATAAAACACGTCGACTCTGATACTTCCTTCGCGACTTCTTCCATTTTGCACGCCGTATGCATCCGGTCGAGCGTTTTTCCTTACCATTCTCTCGTCGTTTCGGAAAAGATCCCGGTTATCGGCGAGAGCCACGATTGGCACTCACTTTTCAAACCTCTCGACTTAAGCCATCTCACGATATATCTCGCTCGTTGTCTTCGTAAAAGAACCATCCTGTTTTATCGCGTCGTCTGATTCGCTTCTGGTCGGATGCTTAATTTCTCATCCGCTGGATAGGTTCTTCATCGCGCGACTAACGATTTCTGATAACGCGTTGGGACCCGGGGTCGCGAAGAAACGAAAGAAGGTGCGACGACCGCGCGACCGATAAGCGACGACCGCTTGACAAATGTTCGAAAACCGGCGCGAATCGATATTGGCTCTCTCCGCGGTCGAGATATACGTCCGTGATAAATCATATATCACGTTAATATAATATTACCGTCGTAACTTGGTTGAATCACCTTTTGATCGCTCTGGCGCAAATTATGCGATCAATTTGATAACATAATACGATCGCACGTGGGTTGACATGATCGTCAAATCTTTCGCAGAATGCAGATAATTCCGATCAGCTGAATGCAGTTTTATAAGATCCCGAAAAGTGAACGGGCGAGATAACGAGAAAATTAATCATACGTGTAAATAAAGGTACACTGAGAGAAAAATGTTTTATATTTGTGCAGAACTGATAGTTTCCCACAAAAATTAAATAAATCCATTTAAACAAAATTTAGGTTATCTTAGGTCACTTCAAATTCTCTATTAAATAATGTCACATCATTAATAATTTTATTTCAATAAGAATTAAATATAAAACAACAAATATGAGAATTCACAGCTATAAAGGATGTTTTTGCAAAGAGTAATTTGTAAAATTTTGTAAATAAAAAAATTTGTTTTTAAATAAAATATAAATATTAGGTGTTGGAATTAATTCGTAGCGTTTTTAATGAAAGAATGTTATTTATTTCACATGAGCATTAAAAAATACATTAATGAAAGTACTTCCCATCACTTGTAAAACGCTACGAATTAATTCCAACACCTAATAATATTTCCTTCTTTACGCTTATCATTTTTAATGTTATAAAAACGATTAATATAAAATATTACAGAACGAATAAATTTTCCAGTTAGTACCAAATAAATCCAGAAGTTTTTCATTTTATTTTTTTTAAATGGGTCCTCAAAATATTAATTAAAACTTTGTTCTTATACCTATTATATGTCCGAAGAAAAATTACCATATTTATATAAAGAACGGTTTAAAGATGAGAAATCTTTTTTTTGTTTCCTGAAAATTTAACTTTTTAAACTTGTTAAGTTTATGCAAAGAATTCTTCAATTACATGATAAAATAATTATGGTTAGAAGTTTCGTTTTTACAATTATTATTGACATAATGTTAGTAATAATAATTATTTATATTGCTCCATAAAAGAATATATGATGGTATTAAAATTAATTATATAAATTATACATAATTGTGTGTGTGATAATTACAACTAACAATAAAATTAATAATTTCATCAGCAAGCGAAAGAATTTCGATCATCATCGTCCGCGGATAAACAATTCAATTGAGCATTTTTTTCAAACTTTTCATTTTTTGTTTTCAGTGTAATAACGCGCGGATTGAAATGTACAATTCGTCAAAATGTTTGAAGAATAAACATTATCGATTGGTTGATTCGTAACCGTTAAAACATACTCGAGAATGGTAATTTATACGTTGGACGTATTGAGAGACAAGTTTTAATTTGGATTAAAACGAACAGAATCGTTCGTTAATTTGCAAATCTATGCAACAATTGTAATGTGAACAAGAATATGAATGCGTTTTCAGGTTTGTCATTATACGATGTCTTCCATTGACTAAATAAAAGTTTCAAATGACAGGAATGTCATACTCACGATAGAGCTTGATGCTGCCGTCCGTTTCGCCGAGGGAGTTCTTAGATATGCATTTGTAACTGCCGTAATCGGACATCGCGACTGAGCGTATCGTAAGCTTCATGTGTACTTTGTATACATTGTCCGAAAAGGATGGCTCGTATTTTTCCCCTGCAATTTAACAAACATCGTAGGTACACTGGATGCATTCAATAGTGCAACTGTTCGTTCTGTTGTAAAAGCCTAACTCATACAGATTCTAACTCATATAGATTCTAACAATATTTCAACAATGTTACAACATCCTAGCAATATTACAGTAACATTTTAAATGTTGCAACAATATTGCTGCATGCTTCTGTATTGTATGATAATCGATGTGATTGATTCTTACATTTAAATTCAATTAGAATTTGGAACGTTACATTAAAAAAATAAAAAAATAATGATTCATTACTTTTTTTTTACTTTTTCATAATATTAAAATAAGAATTATTAGATTTTAAAATTACATTTGATAATCAATATTAACAATTATTTGATAATTAATATTAAATATAATAATAAATATTAAAACTCGAACATGTCTGAACTGTATATCGAATAAGTTCTTTATATTAAACTTATCTAATAATTTTTTTAAAGCTTTATAATAAAATATTTCAATCAAATGTTATACGAAGTTAAACTAAAACTAATTAAGGCGGGCGATTAAACGCTAATTTTACTTTTTTAATTATTATCTTATCTTTCTAATTATTATTATTGAGTAATTTAGTAAAATTTATAAAATTTATTACTGCATTTAATCATGTTTACTAAATGATTGCACCAATATAACAAATAAAATACATTTGTAGCTATTACCAGACTTTTTTTTCAATAGATCCTTTTACTTGTATATACATATATATATATATATATATATATACACACACACACACGTACACAATTAACATGATATATTTTTTCCCTTGCAAAAGAGAAGTGTTAAACGGGCAAAATGTTGCGGAGTTTCAGATTGCGAACTTGACTGCGGGAGCTTAATAAATATCAAGCGAGATAAAAGATGCTCCGCGCCTTCTTTGTTCGCGCTAGAATTATGGAATTAGTTTTAATCTACGGTGAAAGCTGGTTCCGTAGAAACTGGAACACGTTGAAACCGTTCTACACAGGGAAATCTAGGGTTGATGCGACGGGGATATATTGTTCATGCATACACAGTGTACTTAACCCGCAAGCCAGGCGTCAGTTTTACATCCAACATGGCACGGTATCTACATCGCCGCAAGACATTGCTTCATTAAAATATGACTCGTCATTTTAGGCAAGCTCATTTAAAGCTTAATTACATTACTCGCGCTATTACAGTTACGTATCGCATCCGCGTTTCTACGTCGACGCGCGAATTATTAATTTTTGAAGCATGCAGATGTTATAGAAGCGCGCACACGATTATGCTCGATTCAGCTGATGTTACGCTGCTCGCGTTCGCATTATCATCGTTTATATCATTATTATATCGATGATGCGTATTATCGTAGAAAATTGAAAGTAGCGAACGTGCGCATGTTTTCGATCCATCGTTCAGCCGGATGGAATATAATATAACGATATTCCAAAATGTATTTGCCGATATCCCGCCCTTCCGGTACGCCTTCACGGTCCACCGTGCTTCGTGCTCTGTCAACCAGAAAAACTAGCATTAGGGTTTCTCGCGTGGATGCACGCTGCCCTCTGCTCCATATTCGCGCGTCAGTCTGGCCCCATACGCGTCCATTTAAATTGTTCCAAACGCTTTGTTTCTCATCTCATTATTTGTGTTTTTCGTAAATCGACTCAGTTCGAGCATAAATGTATTTTTCCAATTTCGAAAAAACATACATATTTACATACATATGTAATACATAGAGAAAAAAACTGATTGCGATTACCATAATTTAATTATAATTTATGTATCATAAATTATATATCATTTTTGGTATCAGAAATCTTTTTTTGTAGAATTATAAATATAATTATTATTAATAATATTGAAGTTAATAAGCAATAATAACTATAAAAATGAAACTCCTAAACATAACTACTTTATATGCAATTATAATCTCAAATAATTTTCTCTCAATGTACACTTCATGTCTTACATCAATAAAGCAATACCTCGAATAATACACTTTATTTTACAACATTTTTCGGTAATTAATTATAAACATATTTTTGCACAATTTATGCACGTCAGTAATATTTGAGCAATTATTTGATGACTTATTTATTAAATTTATGAAATATATATGTCTACACGAACCAAATTATATTTTCCATTTCTGAGGATGGAATTGTATCTCTTCGAAAAGAGCACTGAGAAAATTTGGACCGACTAAACACGATATGGTGGCCGAACACGCCAAACACTCATTATTTGTGAAAGTAAAACTGGAGAATTATACGCGATCACGTAATTAATCTGAAGTACAATGATTATAATTGTAAAGAAGCCCCCTAAAACTTTGCGCGTTCCCTTAATTAAATCTCGATTATTCGCACATTTCTGAAAATGTAACATATTTCAACATTTCATGTTGAAGAAATTTTCCGTAAGCATGGAATCATATAAGAATACAAAGCAACCGAAATACTGTAAAATAATCGACTAATAGTATTTTGTAAGTCGGAGAAAGGCATTAACGTTTCGATTCTTCTCAGTGGATGAAAAGTGGCGCGGCAAAAGCCGAGGCGGATCGGGGCGGGACACGCGAACGCGAAAAGAAGTTTTGATTAACAATTCGAGGTGGCGGCGCATTCGAGAGAGAGTGAAATCTATAGGTGTAATGACCCGCGGCAAGGTAGAGGCGAAGTATTTTCTCAGCCAGGAGGAAAACTTACGTCTCTCCGAGATAGAGAAAGAGAAATGTGGAGAAAAGGGTGAGGATCGGAGGTGGAGCCGCGCCAGGCAGGCCAGCAGGTGGAATAAGGGCGGCGGAAGGGTAGAATGCATTTATGTAGTGGCACCATTCGAGCCCCACAAGCGGAAGAAAAACTTTCGGCCGGCTTTGAGTTTGAAAAGCAGATGAAAAAGTTTAACGACGTTGAACTACGGTGCCGAGCATTACCCACGGAGGCGGCGTGGCGGTGCCGGGGCCCGCGAATGGATTTTGCTGAGGATAAAACTGCTTTTAAACCCAAAAGTCGGCGGTGGGACCGATATTTTGTGTTACTCGTATCTCCGCACGTCGTTGGCGAACGGGTCCGCCGACATATGTGGACATGAATCACGTTGACTTGGAAACTCAAACTGCCGACGTAATTTCCATCTGCGGCGATCGCTCACGCTTAATTTCGCCTAGCGCCGTCGTTTCCGCGATCACGTGCCCGTGTCATCGATCACGTGATACTTCGGGACTTTTACGAATGCAATCCAGCTTTTACGTTTGATGCATATGAAACTATAAAAAACAGACAATTCAATCGTAAAATAAATTAAATACTGAACCGATAAAAACGAACAATTTAGTCAAAACATTTATTTAACAAACGTAAGCTATTTTATGGGAAACAAAATTCATTATTGTTTCAGGCTCAAACTAACGCGAGGATATATCATAAACATGCGCGCTTTGTTGTGACAAAAATGAATTAATTAAAGAAAAAAGGCAATTCAAAAAATTCTAAAAAATTTAAAATTTTGCAGAAAGGTACATGTATATGTAATCATATAAAAATTTTATGTTTTAAAAGTGAAAATATCCCTCTAAAGACAGTCTAACATTCCATTTATGTCTAATAATATCTCAGAAATTAAAAGAAATGTTAAGAAATATTAAATATAAAAATATAATTGAAAATTATAAAATATAAAAAAAAATTGCTGCATAATTGAGTTTCCATATACTTTTAATTCTGCAAGATTTTAGATTTTTAAACATGTTTTAATTGCTGACTTTTCGTTGTAAGTCAATCAAATCTGGTTACAGCACAACTGACATAATAACACACATTTGCTTATAATACACGCAAGAAGATTTATTCATAAAAACACTGCAAATCTTCCGTTAAGAGTTCTTATTAAAATTCCACAGCACGAAAAGGATATTCTTTTGTCACGGTTTTTAATTTTAATTCATTAACTATCCGAAATGTAATTAACGCTGAAAATGAAATCTTTCCCCTCCCCCCCCCCTCTCTCCCTCTCTCTCTCTCGCTTTCTTTCTCTCTACGAGAGAGAAATTATACTGTCGCACGGTGAGAGTTACAAGTCGTGGGAATGCGTTCCTTTAAAAGCAGAACGGACGCACACAGTTTGGCCACGAACATAAAAAAATGCAAAGCCCCTCCCTGTAATGAGTTTAGCGCCGACGGCTCTAATTTGATGCACACAAACCCGGCGTCGGCGAGCGAGAAACGTTAAATATCGCGTAATTGCCAACCGTCGGGAACTCTATGCTGAAAATGAATCGGTGTGTCGACGCGCGCGTAACGTGTGTTTGCCCACTGACAGATTATGTTTTCCAAAGGCACTGATTTACGGCGTAATCCTATTGTCAACGATACTGCCGATCCTAAATTCCCCATCACCCTCCAAATATCCTTCGAACAGCTCTAAATTTATAACAATAATTTTGTTGTCTCATTCTCTATTAAAATATGCCGCACAGGCAACAGTGGCAATATTATCCTAGTTAATGAGCAATGGTATCGCTCTTTAATTATTAAGATATATTGTAAAATTTTTCAAGACAATATTCAATAAGTTTATTTGAAAAATGTTTACTGTAAGTTATTGTTAGAACAACAAGAAAAAACAAAAAGAAAATTAAAAAAAAAGAGAAAGTTTTGCTAATATATTATTTATATATTTTGTAAACATATTTTATATAAATATATATATTATATATACTGTTAATTAAAAGTTTAAAACCACATAATTTAAATTTAAGAATATTCTAGTAAAACACTACTTAAAAGTTTGATCTTACTTAATACTCTTCTTAATTTGAAAGTAAATAGACATTATAATGTAATTAACATTGCATTGTTTAATTAAAAAAAAATGGATTACGATTGTAAAGACATTGTTCAAATCTGTATGTGGGTTGTAGATTATTTTAGAAGATGATTGAAAAAGTTTGAAAAAATAAATAAACTTAATTGTGGCTAGAATATCTACATAGACT